ATAATAATAATAATAATAATAATTCTACATGAAGAGTTACGATCGAGCCAGAAGCACTTAATAATTATCATTTCTCAGGTATGGGGTCTCTCCCCTCATTGCATGTGCACTTGTAGCTAATTTCGAATTTAGTTTATTATATACATTGAATATACGAACTTCATATATTTATTGTATCTGATTTATCATCATGGGTTTATTACGAATCAACTTAACGGCCTGCTCCCAGTTGGCTTGTTAGCTCAGTTGGTAGAACGCTGCAGTAGCATCGCAGGGGTCAGTGGTTCGAATCCCGTACTCACCTGATTTTTTTCAGGTCTGATTTTCGCTATTGCATAAATAGCGCTCTCTACTGCGAGGATCATGCATCATACGTAAGTTTATTATCCAGCACTTTTCGCCCATGTCAGTAGTACTGAAGATAGCCGCAACCCAAAGATTCAGAAGCTAATGCAGATTACAGTCACCAAACGCATGAAATCGTAAAAATATTGTTCTCGGGCTAAACTCTTGCTTTTCGAATAAGGACAAGGGAATATTTCTTTCTCCTTCCTAAGATATGGGTATCAGAACACAAATGATTCAATCTGTCCACTGGAGTTCTAAACTTCTGATTAGCGAAGGCCGTCAAGGAGATGTCTTCAAGAAAACTGGGAGAACAGAAAATTTTGTTTGTAATGTTAGTTTTACTTTCCTTCCACAATGTTTGCTCGATACCATCTGTGTTGCTCGTTGGAAGGAAAATGGTATAAAAATTACATGTTTCCTTTTAAAAACGCACTACTTCGCTCGACTTTTCCCGCAATCCGTTAAGAAAAGCAATACGTCCACCAAATTTCTTGGCAATGGAATTCAAAACGAATGATTATCCTATCCTTTTGTTTATCGTAAAAGTAAAACTGTAAGAAAAGACACTTCACGTTTTCTTGTGGCGAGATCAATGACAATTGAAAACAAGCATAAATATATTTGCTTTTTAATAAAATGGATGAACATAATTACATCGCCATTCAAAATGATATCTTCCAGTAAGCGCATTCAGGGCTCTACAGAAAATATAACTGACACTTCCAATTGTCTTTCACTGAACATATATTTGGTTCTACATTCCTTCAATGCGTTTTACAAGAGGGTGAAAGTGAGAAGATGTAGCTACTGAAACCTTAAATTAGCATTGGTGGTATAAAGAACTTTAGAATCAATATCAAAAAATGCTATTTCATAGAATAAGACATATCTTTTTAGATGGGCAGCTCGAAATTCACCCTCATTTTCACGCTACGAGCGAGTTCAACAATATTGGAAAGGCGGACGACCTGGAAACAAACGGACAAAGCCGCCAATAATTAGTGCTCTAAATTACATTGAATTTCACAAACAATTTCAGTTGCAATTGATTCTTGTCGAATTATAAAGCTCAGTAAAATTGCTGCAAAGTAGTGTTCTATCCTTATCGTGTAAAATGAAGATTCTCACCATTTCAGCAGCTTCTTCAAGGTCATCACAAGCGATAATTCTTAACCCACTAGCAGCAATGAGGGCCTTTGCGTCATCCACTCGAGTTCCTGCCGGGTAAACGCAAATAGCACACATGTAGATCTCATCAGGGGAGAGTTTATTAATATGTACTTATTGAGGGTCACTGATGTTTTCTCGTTCGGCCCGACCAACTCAGTCAATAACCATTTTATCATTATATGACTAATACGTATTGAAAATTTATGGNTAAGGATATTTCGGCATCCTGTCATCACTTTTCATTCAGTGGACAACAAAGGCAAAAAAAGCAAGCTGCAAGAGCGCACCCAAACTGAAATGCAACCATGGCAACCTAACTACGGTTCGACACAGACTCATAATAAGGTTGCGATATCCTGCTCCCACCGACACGATAACATAGATTCGTCCCCGACCTTTCAGCTAACGTGGACTGAGAAAAAAAAAAAAAAAAAACCTTTACTGACGGATACACCAGGATGCATTCCTAAAAAATAAAGTTCCTGATAAACCACAAGTTCCCCTTCACCAAGATATAAATTTACAGTGCATATACTACATACAGTACCTTGCAATCGCACAACAATAGGAATACTGAGCTCCAGTTCTCTCGCTGCGGCGATAATTCCTTCTGCTATGACGTCACAGCGCATTATACCACCAAAGATGTTAACAAGAGTTGCGTGCACCTACATAAAATCCATCCAAAAACTCAATAAGTTATTATAATTTCAAACTCTAGGGGTACCTGAAACGAAATCGTTCTAAGGGATGTCATTTTCTGCAACGCCGTCAACCTTTCATCACAGTGGTAACAAAGCCTGTTCTAGGCTTTTAGATCACCGATGTAACATGCCCAAAGACACTACTTAACCCTAATTGACTCTCCTTACCCCTTTACGATGTTCTCGCGGCCTACAAAAATCTACGGAAGCCAATGGTGAATAAGCGCGTTATGTAATAATACCTTTTTGTCGTCACTGATGATTTTGAAGGCTGCCATAACCTGCTGTATTGTTGCACCACCGCCTACGTCCAAAAAGTTTGCTGGCTCACCCCCATGTAATTTAATTATGTCCATAGTAGCCATAGCCAGACCGGCACCATTCACTAGGGAGAAAGGAGAAAGTAAGAATGTAAGGAGTAAGGTACATGTTATTTTAATAAGGTATCAATTCATCACGATATAAATTTACCAATGGCGCCGCTTCTGCATTTTCTCTCTTAACGCTGCCCTCGAAAAATAAAAATAAAAAATAAAAAAAAAACGCGCTTACTCATCGAGGAAAGTGTCGTTTCTTCGAGCATTAAAGGAAAAACAAAGGAACACACACAAACAAACAAACAAACAAACAAACACAAGCACTATACAACTCGGTAATCTACACCATTGTCATACACATCACCAGCGACTCAAGTACGATTCTATCCCAGCCAAAAAGCAATACATTAAGTCTTAAAAAAATGTTTTTATTCTGCATAGCACCAACAAATGAGTTACCATAATTCTTGTTAGTGAATAAAATTCAAAAAAAAAAAAACACTGTCCTTGAATACACGCTGCATCAGAACACAGAAACTTTCATAAACGGCCGGCGATCAATGAAATAAAGTACTGTATGTTCCACCGCCACATACACATGTCCTTGTACAAGATCACACCTTTACAAGAAAACGATCGTGTTTCACGGTAATTGTGTTGTCTATTTTCTTCTGGAGCAACTCAACGGGTGAGAATATAAAACTCTCGAAGCTGATTGGTTAATCGAGCGCCCATAACCAGTTCAGATCTTTACAAAACGGACCCAGGTCTCGAATGCTTTCGTCCACCATTAGCGGCAGAGCAGAATAGAGCAAAGCGGTGTACACCTCTAAATTTACCAGCCAACGTCAGTCCTTATGGTTAACAATTGTGCCCTTGGTCTTAAGCACAGCTTGAGGCTGAAGGCCGAGGGCCTTATTCAAGATTTTCCCATTTCGATGTCCCACCCGTTAGATAAGACATTACTTTTATAAGCTGCGTGTTACCCAGACATCCAATGCTTCCGTCAAGCCCAATGTAGTTCAAGTTGGCTTTTCCTGCTTCTACTTCTCTCTCGTCTTCTTGTGACCAATCTTTTAGTTGGAAGACATCTGGTTGTCGAAATTCAGCATTGTCATCAAAGAGCACTTTGGCGTCCATACATACAACTGAAAAGGAGAATCATGTATACTTAAAGAAATCTAGCGAGTTGAGTGCTACTATAACAACTGACATAAAAGCCACACATTAGGGGTGGGCTTAACTTTGGAGGGTTCCCTCTCCTCTTTGTTTGACTCTTTCAACCTGTGGCTTCATACATGTAGCTCAACTAGTCTTTTTGAGGCACGGGTTCAAATCCTATCGACGGTCGAATTTTTTCAAGCTTTTTATCTGCAACTGCAAGAATTTCAAATCAACCGCGGGGATCATTGCTTTACTTGATTTTCTCTAACACGCAGGTAAGATGAAACTTTAATTCAAGCTGGAGTTAAATCCAGGCACAAACGCACTTTAAATTAAAGAGGTTCCAATTGGATTGATGGATACTAACCTCTTCCTAGTACATCTTCACTCATGGGATTAATTTCAATCAGTGTGGCATCCTTTTCAATGAACAGATCATAAAGTCGCACAATGAAATCAGCAGCCTGGTCTGCACAGCTTTCACTGAAACCCATCTTTTTGGCAAATTCCACAGCATCAGATTTTGACAAACCTGGGAAAAAACATATAATTAGCTGCTAAGGCAGTCCATTGTATGGTGCAGCTAACTTTAAATTCAGGTCAAAATCATTTATTAACAATAGTTTTATTTGTACTTTTGTTTTGTTCATCCTTACACAGAGAATAGCTATATATCACCTCAGTTTGATACCATTTTAAATGAATTCCATTAAGCCACAACTTGCATCTGTGGAAATGGACTATCATCACAAACCCGAGATTTACAACTCGAGATTTACAACTCGAGATTTACAACTTTCGCCCCGACGAAGGGCTAACGCTCGAAACGTCAGCTTTTGTAATCGTTACGGTGGCCAATTTACCACTTCAACTTTTTTGATATATCCAAATTATTCCGAGATTTACAAAGTTGTTTAATTTCTACCAAACTTGTACAGGATAATTATAGATGACCTACAGTGCAGTAGGAATTCGTCTTTAGCAGATTTTTTAGTACGCAATCTTTGGTGAGTTAATTATCATAATAATTGAAAAATTTGGGGGCCACTTCTTTAAATAAGTACATGTACTTCAAATCATGTCATTTTATTCCTCATGATATGTTGGACATAATTTTAACAAACATCTGATGCAAACCTTTCATAATATCCACTCCAAATTTAATGATGGCTTCTGGAGACTCCTTGGCAACCTGTTCAATGTCAACCCCCCCCTGCTGACTACCAACCAGTACAGGTCCCTGTAACCAAGAAAGATAAAAAAACTAAGTGATTAAAGAGAAAAATCAAATAAATGAATGAAGAAACAAACAAACAAATGAAACAACACTCAAAGAACTGGATAAAACATAAGATATGGAACATCAATAACTAAAGGTAAGTTTTTGAGCTTAGTAAAAAAATAGAAAAAGATGTTTATCCTCTTGTCAGGAGCATGGAACAAAGAAAAAATTGAGTTCCCCTATCAGCCCCTGCCAGGACATTGTGTTGTGTTCTTAGGCAAGACACTTTACTCTCACAGTGCCTCTCTTCACCCAGGTGTATAAATGGGTACTGGCAATTTAATGCTGGGGGGAAACCCTGGGATGGACTAGCATCCCATCCAGGGGGGAGTAGAAATACTCCTAGTCGCTTCATGCTACAGAAACCGGAGTTAAGCACCGGCCTAACGGGCCACTAGGCTCGTAAACAGACTTTACTTTTACTTTTTTACTATCAGACCTTCGGATTCTGCATTGGGATGTTCTACCATTGAGCCAAGGAGATGCTATAATAAGGAAGGCCAATTACCAAGTCCATATATGACGTGCATACTGCAATTTTTTTTTTTTTAAGATATATATTTTCTTGTGATTAATAACAAATTCCATTTTGCACTCATGGAGCAGTCTGTTAAATGTGGTAATCAATGGAGGACATTTCAGAATCTGCAGTTTGTGGAGTCCTACAGGTACGATTGACCAGCAGACATCACTTTTCAAACAAACCATACCATCAATATAAACTCAATTTTTCCACTGTTACAGTAATAATATCAGAATATAAAGTATAAACACTAATACTTAATTTTGGAAAAATAAAAAATTGGATTACCTTAAATGCTCTCTCTAGAGCAATGGCAAAGTAGTATTCTCTTCTGGCATAAAGTCTTTCACAAATATAAACCTGCAATTGAGGGTAATCAAGATGTTTTTCACTTCACAAAGGTAGAGAAACTTTCAATAAAAAGGTTTAACTAAGGGCTTGTACAGGTCAATATTATTTTTCCATTTCACTGCAATAAGAACAACTACATGTACTGTTAACTGTAGATGTTTAGTTAAATACAAGATTTGCAAATTCTTTTGCTTGCCACTTTAATGCATTATTGTTGCATTATACACGATGTTAAGTGTACAATCACGAATATCAATTTGAAAGTAATCTTCCTAGCAATGAAGTTCAACGCTATTTGAACAGTAGTGAAAATAAGGCCGAAAAAAATTCAGGCATGTACAAGATTTAAATCCATGATCTCTGTGATACCAGAGCAACTGAGCTGATAGCCAAATGCAAATATCCCTTTAATGTTAATTTCTTAACCTGCAGTTCAGGCTTCATCTTCGCTACTGTTGAAGTAGTGTTCATCACTGCTAAGATCACTATGATATTCATTCCAAAACCCGCAGTTCACATAAATATATTTTCATATATTCACAGTCCTGTACAATCATGTATATCCAGGGCTTGACACATTAACAGTAGCCAACTTAAGCCACAGAATAGTGGAAATTCAGTTTTGGCTAGTGATTTTTTATTTCCACCAGCCAGTTTGGCTAGCAAACAAACTGAAATTGTCCTAACATCTTAGATGTCTCTAGCCACTTGGCTAGTAAGTTAGTGTGGAGCCCTGTATATCAATGTTTTAGTAAATGTAAGAAGATATTTGCTCACATCATTGCATATTCGACCCTGCTCTCCTGTCTGTTTTGTGAAAAGCTTTTTACCAAGCATTCTTGATGCCATTTCCTTAGCTTCATCTGGCCTGTTAGAAAATCACACCAAGTACTGTAGATGAGGTTATTGTTAAGTGCCATCTTAGTGAACAGCATTAGGCAAAAGAAAAGAGGAGAGTAAAACCAACATAGTACAGTATATTTAGCCCTGTTCAAAACTTACGAGAACACAATTCTTACGCCTCCCTTGAGCCCTCCTTCAAACGTTCCTTTTCCTCGCCCCCCTGCCAACACTTGTGCCTTGACTACCAGATCTGAGTCACTCTCAATACCTGAAAGGTTGGAGGCAAAATTAATATTGGCAAATTTTTATACACACTGTGCATGTACAAGTCATATTGCAGTTCTTGGAAAATAGCCAAATGAGGTTAAATCTTTACACATTGTGGAAAACTGATTTAATTTACACCTAAGTTCACTTGCTTAAGAGGGATATTACAAGCACAATAGGTAATTACTGCATCCTTCCTTCCTTCACTGTATTACATGAACAAGAATTTTTAAAGAGAATGATACTTTTTGTCTTGTCACGAGCATGGGACAAAGAGAAAAATCTATCCTCAGACCTTCTGATTCTAACCTACCACTGAGTCACAGAGACCCTACGGTGAGCAAGGCCGAATAAGAGGTTCATATGAACTTAGTAATGGACAAAAAACATCTTTCTCTATTTCTTAACCAAGCTCAAAACTTACCACCTTCCTTTTTCTATAAATTGTTTTTGTTATTTAGAACAAACAATGACATGTACATCATCGTGATTGTATACATGCGCAGTCAGATTGTCCAGGTAATTGAAGTCTTAAGAAAGACCTGAATGGAAGTCATCATCAACGGCAAAATAATACTTGTTGTCAGTCAAATGAACTAAGCCCATTTATAGTGTTCAGCCGTGATGTTATTGGTTGCAAGACTGACAAGTAGTGTAAGTTGGTCATAATATTGGTCTGGTCCAAACCATTTCCTGAATCATGTCATTCTGAGACCTAGCCTTTTTGTTAGAAACAGGACATACTTCAATGAAAATTTACCTTCCTCTCCAACTCAACTAAACTAGCTAAACAAGACACATTCAAAAACTTCAAGAATAACACTCTTAAAATCTTCAAATGTGTACAGTGTGACTGTCTACCTGTGTTACCCTTGAAGACCTGCCTTCCTGACATCCTGTCTTCCTCGACTTTGATGTAAAAACATAATGGCACAAAACGTTACTAACTCTTTACTAACAAGGACTACTAACAGTAACTATAACTCTTCAACTCCCAGGGACAACCAAAACAGCATTTCTCCAAACAATATCAGTACGATTTCATGCAGAACAACACAACAAAGAAGAATCAAAGGGATGCTATGTTGGGATTGTGGATATTCTGCACAAAATATAATTGTTTTCTCTATTGGGTCGCTTCTAAGTTTGCAAAATGAACTTGATATTCAATCTTCACCCTTTTGAAACAGATGTTTTAGAACTGTTGAGATCAGAGCAAGGAAATCTGTAACCTAATCAATTCTCATTTGACTTCTTTATATATTTTTAACTTTTTGCAATTTTTTATGACAACATGATCGCAATTATATGCGAATATCCATACCGATTGCTGTTTTTTCTCAGAGTTTACTGTAATATTTATCTCTATGATTCAGATCTGTCATTTCTGATAGTTTATTTCACGCTAAGACATCTGTACACCATCCACACCCACACTGTGTTTAAATAGTTGCATATAAGTAGCATTGCATTGTTTTGAAATTGCAGATACCAATAGAAACAAAGTGAATGGGTGTGTGTGTGTATGTTGCAGGTAAAAATTAAATTCAGGTGAAATTAATTTTAACCACGGTTGAATTTCAATTCTCTTTATCTCCAAGTCCTAACTGTGAATAATTATGGCTCAGAGACAAAGGAAATTGAAATTCAACCTAGGTTAAAATTTTTTTACCTGAATTTAATTTTTGCCTGCAACATGACTGTATATTGTACCAATGAAAATTGTTCTCTTCAAAGACCACAATATACCTTCACATTCGCACATTACTTACCCAAAGTAGTTGCTATTTCATAAGCTTGTTCGGGCGTTCTAGCTACACCACCCTGAGGTATAAGAATGCCTGCCTCCTGAAGGAGCTTCATACTGTAGTGCTCATGCAACGACAAATTTCTGTTCTGCTGATGTTGACAGCCATTGACACCTAACACCTGAGCGTAAAACAACGATTAACGTCAATCTAAGGATTCTTAAAGAAATCTGAGAATTGTTTTCGTTACATACCCTTGGCAGTAGCCTTGTTTGAGACCGCAAGCCACCGACACATAGCTTTCGAAAACCGTTTAGGGCGGCCGCCATCTTTGTTTTCGTTTAGCCAGGGAAGTACGCGTGATCTCTCTAGTAAAGCCGCGGGGCCAGTGGAAAGCGGGCGTGCATAGAAGGCTTGATCCAAAACATGGCGGCACCTCGTCCACTGAAAAGACCGCGTTTAGGCCAGCCAGATGTCTACCCACAAGACAGTAAACAGCGAGAGGTAAGATTAAAACGAAATTCAAACACTGGAACTTCATTGCTGAGGACACAGATAATTTACTTTTTCGCCAGGACGAGCTCACTGAAGAAAATGTCAAAAAGGGATTTAGCTACCAACCGCTTCCGTTTAGCTCGGGTACAAATGAGGTTGGTATGAATTGACATTTTTTCGTGACGTATGCATTTGATCGCCTCATGAACAGAAACTCGAAGATATAATATTCTTTTACAGTATGGATCAGCGAAGGACATCATGTCTAATGTGCCCCTGTCAAAGGTGAGTGCTTGTTAAATAATTTGAAGACTTCACAAACAAATTTGTGGTCTTCGCAGTTTTTAAGTATTAGTCATTCGATCTGTTCCTCGCTGATCAGTGGACCTGATTTTTGTCACTTTTTATTTTGATGGTAATGATGCAGTGTAACTGTTCTCTTGATGAGATCAATTTACGTTTTTGAACACCGGTAGCATTTTGTGGATTGATTGATTGTCATACTTTCGTTAATTTTTGATACCAAAGTGGCGAGAGCGCTGGCCTCCCACCACTGCGGCTCAGGTTCAATTGCTGGACCGGGTATCACATGTGGCCTGAGTCTGCCGTTGGTTTACCTGTCCCGGCAAGGGTTTTTCTCTCTACGATGTGAAATCTTAACAGCGTGCATTGTCCCTTTAAAAATCTTTTGGATCTTTCATGTGTACCGTGAGGTACATGGTATTTATTTAGTACAGAGATTGCAGAATTCTTTGCTTCTATTTCAATGGCTTAAATATGCTAATTTTTTCTCAGAAATATTATTTCTTACCGATTTTCCCATACTTTTTTCACTCAAGAAATTCTTTAATTTATTGTACGTAAGTAAATATACATAAATATATGCATACATAAATTAATGCAATGTTTATTGGTCTTACTCATAGTTTGCCCAAAGCTTTAATGCTATATTAGTGGAAAAACAGAAACAGAACACTTTTACATCACAAGATGGAAGCAAGAGAAAAGTACAGCCTGTCAAAGATAACTTTGTGCCTGTAAGTAAAATTCATTTTCTATCAACCTTTGGTGATAATGAGGTCTTGCTAAAGAATTATTTATAAGGAGCTTTCTATACAGCTATTGGAGCACAGATATGCTTAAGTGTTTGGTCATCTTTTTTAATGATACATTCAGAATTGACTTGAGCTTATTCAGTGATATCCTCTCTGTTGCTTTCATGCAGAAATTATTGTCCAAACTCTTCTCAACTCCCCTTCCCCAATCCCTCCCCCAACCCTTCCCCCAAAAAACAGATCATTATTTCTATACAGGCTTACCATCACTAAATCCACTGACTATATTCATCACAAAAGTCATCTTGTCATTATTACCACTTGCTAAATTAGTGAAAATTGAACAGAGCTGTGGTCTAGTATCACCAGGTGGCTCCTGGCACCTTACTTTTTCTCTTGGGTGACTCAGGAATCTTAGTTTAAAAAGCATATGCTGGGCACAGTGGATTTCACAGTTTCAGAACACTGGGCTCCCTTCAATTTTTTATTAGAGCACAGCCTTGATTGAATATTAAACACAGAGCGAGGAAAATACCATAATGTTAGAATGCAATAAGCTTGGGCTAGATTTTAGAGGGCAAGTAACAAGTGATTAAAACAAATTCACATTATTTTTAGTTCAGAAAATTTGCAGCTGATTCTTACTTAACCTTTTAACTCCACATATCTGACTGTTAATTCCCCCCTCACGCTGCTACACATTTCCTTGTAAATTAGTTACAAGAATTTGGTGTTTGATCAAGATGAGAATTTCTACCTGATAAGTTTGAGTATTCTCATTACCTGTTTGCTGGATCATGTATGGATATTATAGGGAGAAGTTTCAGGTTACATGTATATATACATAGGTTAATTGGCCACTCCCCCCATAAGGGCTTTTCAGGGCCATTCTCCCACCCATCCCACCCCAGGGGAAGACATCGACCACACAATAATCTTGTGCGTGGGAAATTAACGTCTCCTACCCCTAATCCTGCAGGAGACGGGGCCTATGGTTTATTCGTCCTTATCCGAGAAGACTAGAATATCTATCCATTTCTTGATATTATAGAAAGGTAGCAAATTCTCCTCAGTTATTTTAAGACCATGAGTATTGGTCTGGCTGGGGCTCCAACCCTCGACGTCCCACACAACACAATCCGGCGCTCCAACCAATTGAGTTATATTCTGCGTGCCATGTTGATCACTATTGGGAGTTGAAAGCTTAACTCTTCAAATGTGTTGTAGGTACACATCACTGCTCGCTCCAGGCCATTCATTTCATCATGGTTTCAAGATCTGGCTGGGAACAAACCACTGACAGTTTTAGCAAAGAAGGTATTAACCTAGTACATATTATTACTGCATATACAGGTATCAAATTTGTGCACAGAGTCTTTTGATATACACATTAATGAAAGTTGTAAGCATATGCCAGTATTATGTGTGTATACATGAACAGCTGTCCATAAAAAGGAAATAAAACATGAAATTTTAGGGGAAGGGGTACATTTTTCATTTAACACAGAATGTAAATTACAAATAACGTGTACACTGTCAAAATGACTTTTGTGATTTTTTTCATGTAAATTATCATTAATTATTAATTAATAATCATTCTTATGTAACATTTCTTGTACAGTTTGGTGTAAATTAGCATGTATAGATTTTTTCAAAGACCACAAATTGCCTTTGCTTCAAGGACTAGTACTCATGCAATTTTGTTGTCTTAAAAATTTACCTAGAATGCATACTAATTAACTGTTCCACTTAGGTAAATGTTAATCGTGCAAATGCATTTTGAATTCTTCATCTTGAGGAGTTGCCAGCTTTTTTAGAAATATTCCCAGCATCAGTTGGAACAATTGTTCAAGAGCTTCCTTATGCCTGAAGAGATTTGTTATGTACATTTTGCTTGTTGTGCACAGGACCTTTCATTTGTAACGATTCTCCTCTCCAGGTACCAATTTTCAACAAGAAAGAAGAGATCTTTAACAGTCTGTGTGAGTACTCTATCCCAATGTTGAGGGCAGCATGGTTCATCAAGATATCTTCAGCATACAACACAGGCATCAATGAGTCCAAAGGCAAAAAGAGAATTATGGCAGACCCAGCTCAAGGTGCATTAATCATTTATTAATGCATGACTTAAATTCTGCTACATGTGGATGTTTCAACTAGGCACACTTATTCATGATAGAGGACTGCAAATGCAAGAATTTCAAGGGTTATTCAATGCAAGGCTGTGCTCTAAGAAGATTTTCAGGGAGCCTTTCGTACTCCCAACCATTTTAGCTAGGGCGCCCAGCCCTCCAAGTTAGTGACTCAAAAATTAATTAATTAATTAACCAAGCAATTAATAATTTAATATCATTAACTTATTTCCTGTCTTAAATCAGTTAATATTTAATTAAACCATAAATTTCAATAATTCAAACTGTTTAGAAAGCGTTTAACTTTTGGTGTTGCTGTTTACCATTATAGTTACGATACACTGTTAGATAACTTCTTGCTCCTTTTCGGCACAAACAAGTTTGACTCCCAGTTAATGGATCCATCTCCTTCATATTTTTTCACAGCATTAGCAATACTTAAGATCACCAATCTATAGCTTGAGTCATCTGTGAAGCATGCTGGATTTATGTAAAGCAAAAGGTCCAATGACTAATTGAAATAAAATAGCTCCTGCATTTCAGAGATTTTCTGTAAAAATTTCCTTGTTTGTCCATTTTTCGTAAAAGAAGTGAGAGGCAAAATGAAAAAGCCGTACATATTGCAACCGACTATATGTGGAGAGCTGAAATTTTTAGAAAGTTGTCAGAAATTGACTGGATATTCACCGGTACAGTTAAAAATAGAGTTGCTAGTCTGGCCATAAGAGCCATCGGGAAAGGTAATCTGAACTAAATCGTGGCGCTTTGAAAGTGAAATGTTTTAATTTTTTTCCAAAACTTGCAGGAAAGCTGTGGGATTGTGAAATAGCTACATTTTAAATCTTTTTCTGAAAATTAAAACTTCCGCACCACGCGACAGTGTGTTGCTATTTTTAGTACTGAGCTTGTGTTATTTTTCAAAATGGCAATTGTGTTTCTTTGGATATTTTAAAATGCTTAGAACTTTCATTCAAAAGCACCAAAGTAAGCAAGTCTAAATATGAAATAATTATAAGCTCAATTCTTGCTAAATCTTCCTAAAGTAATTGCAAGTTGCTTATCACAGCGATCGATAAACACTTACAAACAAATCTGGCTTGCTGGAAATTTGCATATAGAAAGAATCTTGGTTTGAAATAGAGATAAATGCACTACACTTTCCAAATCCATCAAAACACTGAAATAAACCAGACATTGATCATCACAAGGAAAATCGCATTGTTCAATGCATATTTTTGCAATATCCATGCAGTTTATAACTTGTGAAGTGACAGGAACTATTATTTCAATAATTATTGTTTGGGTTCGTACTTCAAAATCTTTGAACGTGAACAATTCAACTACCTGTCATGCAAAAGAATATTTTTCTGGTAGCAACACTTATAAATCAACCAAATAAAAATGTAGCAGTCAATCGCCAGATTTTACCATGGAGGTGAATGCTGCACAAGAGGCCGAGTGCCTGGGTGGGCGACCGCAATATTTTTTCAGTTGCCCAGTACCAAAATGTTAGTTGCCTGAGGTGACTGGGTGCTACTAGAGGACAGCCTTGTTATTTCCCATCATTTGCAGCAAAGATCATGTGTAACCTAGTAGTTATCGTGAGGCGTGAGTAGTCCAGTGGTCAGTGCGCTAGACTCTGGGTCAGATGGCCCAGGTTCAAGTCCTGGCTGGGGCTTGACGTTGTGTCTTTAAGCAAGACGCTTCACTCACATTGCTTCGACTTCTCGTATAGGACGTAAAGCCGGAGGCCCCGTCTCCTGCACCTATCAATTAGTTAATTTGGGCAGGGGACGTTAAAGAACCCACATCACGAGATTACTGTGATGTGATCTGGCCTGTTTACTGGGAATGGGGGCAGGGGGCATCTGTAAAATTTCCCCTTTATTAACTGTAAACTGCCGCCGACAGTGTGGAAAAGTCCCCCGCACAGTGTTCTAAAGCGCATTAGAGCATTTACATGGAAATGCGCTGTAGAAATTGATATAAATGTTATTATTATTATTATTATTATTATTATTATGTTCCTTCCTTCTAGAATGGACCCATGCTTTAACAAAATTCTTGAAGGACCAGTTAAGCAAGATTGCAGACTTTTATCAGGGTCACTTCGCAGGCATAACTTCTTCCCAACACCAGCAGAGAATGACTCCTGAAGTGGAACAAGCGCTGAAGCAGTGGAACTACACTGTGCGACTCTCTCACTGGCTGTATGAGGTGAGAAACTTTCAACACTCTCTATTTTCCTATTTAGGTGTATCTACTAGACCTAATAAGCAACACTTGTGACTTCAATCTCCCTTGCAAATAAAACAGGATTGAATAGTTACTTTTAAATTTTCAATGGCTGATTTAGAAGTTAATAGTGAATTGCGTGACATTTTTTTTTCGGATCATTACAATCTGTATAGCAGAAAATTAGCTTTAAACTAGCTGTTGTAAATTGAAATAGTTAATTTTTTACCATGATTACAACATCACTAGCATCCAAATAATAAATTATGGCCTAACTTTACCTGGGAATACAGGTTAGAATTATGATAATGCCTCATTCTTTTCGGCTTTTTGTCTTAAATAGCTAAAACCTTCAATCTACCTGCATGGATCAGTTCTTTGCTTGATCTTCATCCACGGGTCAATTGAAATTATTTTTATTTCAATGCAAGTTGTTACACTTAATACTTTTATTTTGCCGATTTTTAGGAGAGTCTTCTTGACAGACAGGAATTTCTTCAGTGGCTGTTAGATTTGCTTGACAAAAGCAAGAATGCTGATGATTTGTTGCTAAAATACCTTATTCCTCTTCTGCTAAGGGTACAGTACAGTGTTTACTTTGTTTTAACAGCTCAGGGTAGATAGATAGGTAGACTTTAAAAGTGTCAGAAATATTAATATTGGCTAAAAATAGCTTATTTGGGGACACTAAAATTTCATACAGTCATGTTTCATAGTTGTAATTAATGTATTAACTAATTAAAAGATAATACTAGTATAATGATAATAATAATACTGCTTATAATAATAGGTTCAGCATTACTTTAAATCAACGTTACTGTTATTACGTCAAGCATGCACAGCAGCTACATCTTCTTCAATTCACATACACCTATTATAGTTTTGGTCAGTCTTTCATACCTTCCACTCACTCAATTTTTTACCAAGTTGCATCTATTTATGATAAGCAACTGAAATTCATGGGGGTTTGGGATAAGGTGGTCAAAGACAAACAAACAAACCAGCACTTGAAAGGGGGGGGGGGGGGAGGGGGCTTGGATACAAAAAGAAAAAAAAAATCATGTTGCTCTAGGTAGGAATTTCAGGCCAGATTTTAATTTTTCTTTTTCTCATTTCAGTATGTTGACCAGATAGTCTTGTCCCAAACCCTTGCAAGAGTTCTTGCCCAAGTGTGTTCCAAGAAGCTGTCAACATTGTATTCAGCAGCTGAGCAAATGCAGTCTGAGCAACAAAATCAAGGGACAAGCAGTTCAAACAGGACAAGTACTTCTTCTGTGCCGAGTCCTGTTCTATCCATTACTCCAGAGAGGTACGTTATCTATGTGACAGCAATGTGAAGGATTGGTTGGGCTCTGGGCTTTTTGTAATCTGGTGGTCCTGGGTTCAAGCCCTGCATCCTGTTACCCACTGGACTTAACAAATGGTGAACGCCATAGCATGTACTATTGAGTTATGGATGCACGCGGGAGGTTGCTAAGCGCGAAGGAAGCGTAAGAGTCGCACGAGGCGATAGCCGAGTTTGACTCTAGCTTCTTGAGTGCTTAGCAAACCTCCCAAGTGCATCCATAACTCCATAGTACACGCTATGGTGTTCACCATTTGTGTTTAATAACATAACATTGATACATGGGAACAAGAGTTCCCTTTTATTTAACAAATCTTACGTGATCAGAAAAAAAAAAGCGCGCGGAAAAATAGTCTTAGCATTTGCTCACGTCAGCAGCATACACCCATGGGCAAATTGTAGATGCTGAATCAACCAATCAGAGCGTGTGCTTTGCTTGAGTTATGTTATAATTGATGTTTGTGGTTAACCAGTATCTAGTTAGCAGGAGAACAATTTGAAAGTAGCATCCCTTTGAAAAACAGCAAAGTTTGTGCATATATCATGGTCACCCCTACCCTCAATCCTGTTCAAAGATTGGCAACTAAGCATGCAACTGTAAAATGGACTATTGGGTTTTTTAAGAACTACATTTATTTTTGTAATGTTTTGATTTGTTCATATTGGCCTTAAAAAGCTCCATGGAGAGTGATCAGTAATCAAGTTTACATACACATGTCATACATCTGTTCACATGTTTCACATACTCCTCATCTAACATAATCAAGCCTAGATACTTTACATCTACATGCATATTTTAGCATAAACTACTGTAATAATGTTTTGATTTGTTCATAATTAGCGCTCTCTACTGCGAGGATCGTGCATCATACGTATCTATAACCACAGTTCAAAATATATGAACTTCATATTATATATTCATCGTATCTGATTTATCATCACGGGTTTATTACGAATCAACTTAACGGCCTGCTCCCAGTTGGCTTGTTAGCTCAATTGGTAGAGTGCTGCACTAATGTCGCAGAGGTCAGTGGTTTGAATCCTGTCGAGGCCTGATATTTTTTCAGGTCTGATTTTCACTATTGCATATTAAATAGCACTCTCTACTGCGAGGATCGTGCATCATACCTACTGTAATATTGTAACTAAATTTCTAACTAAAATTCACAGTAATGTACAATATTTGTCCAAGCATTGTATTGATTTAAATACCAGACATCTGGAAGCTTTCTGCAGCTCTCAGTTTTAAGCTGCAATTGATTACTGGGTTTGGATAGAAACTGGTCTTAGCTTGTAACACAAGGAAACAAAAAATATTGTCATTGAGTGTTGAAGCCACATTATTGAATTGGTAAGATCATGGAAAGGAAAAAAAAGACTCTCTTTCAACTTTCAATTGTTGGTTTTTCATTTTCTAATAGGCATTGAGCTCTCCTTTATCTTTTTACCACACCTATTGGAAACCTTCTGAAAAATGTGGGGTTAGTTACCCCTGCGATGGACTTGTATCTTTTCCACGGGATTAGTGCCCCATTAAGGCAGGCATTTCTTTTGAAACGTAGTTAAGCTTCTAGTAGCTGACCTTTTTTTTCACCTCTCTTTCTTCCCTTTCCCTTCCCTTTCAGTGGTTCATCTCTCACTCCTATGAATCCTCAATCACTTCCTGTGCTCTCACAGTACAAGACGTGTCCCCAGCATCATGCACTTGTCCTGTCACTGAGTTCAGTTCTCCAGACAATAGCAATGTGCTGTCCTAGTGCTCTGATCTGGAACTCAATTCCTTGTGGAGGCAGCAGCAATGGTTTGGCAAGTAGTGCAAGCAACTCTACTGCGGCTAATACAGACGCTGCAGCTAATAAACCTGCCGTGTTGGGATCCCCGCTGGACAGGCTGCCCATTGCACCTTCTTCAATGCCTCTTCCCTCACCTGGAAGTACTCAAACTTCCCTGAATTCTGAGGTTGGTATATAATTTATGTTAATTTATGTTGGTATATAATTAATTAATGTTTTATTTATGTTACTCTCTATTGTCAACCCTTTGGCCCTGAAGGGTGATTAGCATCTTATTTCTCCTTACAAACCACATGTTAAACAAATTTTGAGGGCCAGCAGTGTGGTCCATCTACATAGCAGGGTTCAGTCTCCTCACATCAATAATATTATTATAATTAACAAAATGGTGAGCACCATAGCATGTACTATTGAGTTATGGATGCATGCGGGAGGTTGCTAAGCACGAAAGAAGCGTAAGAGTGGCACGAGGCAATAGCCGAGTGCGACTCTACATGTAGCTTCTTGAGTGCTTAGCAAACCTCCCAAGTGCATCCATAACTCAATAGTACACTCTATGGCGTTCACCATTTGTTTTATAACATAACATTGATACATTGGAACAAGAGTTCCCTTTTATTTGATAAAACTTATGTGATCAGAAAAAACAAGCGTGCGCAGAAAAATAGTCTTAGCATTTTCCCACGTCAGCAGCATGCACCCATGGGCAAATGGTAGATGCTGAATTAACCAATCAGAGTGCGCACTTTGCTTTAGTTATGTTATAATTATATTTTAGTGTGAAGTTTTATTAAAATGTGACATGGTTGTCGTTGTATGTTTGCGTGCTTCCTCTCGTGTCCCTTTAGATCCAAACTGTAAGGTATGTTTTAAGCTTTCATTTTGCCGGGTTTATTTCCTTTGTAGTCAATTACTATCAGTATTTCGTTACACAAACCACTTGATTGAGAATAAAATAATGTATGGTTCAGGTAACCATTGTGAAATGTTACCGGTGTGTTTGTTACACTATGTATCATAGTCGCAAGAATAAAGGAAATGATCACTTACTAGAGAAGCTCTTCATTGATACACTAGTTCTCCTTTTCAGCACCTTAGGAAATGTGCACAGAACAGTATGGAGAATATGCATACTGATGTACAGGGTAGGAAGGGCTAACATGTTCCATGATTAGCAAAACTGAATTTTTTTTTCCACATGTTCAATTCAGCTGTTATCTGTGCTGCTTGCAAGTGAGGAGGAAATCAAAACAAGAAGCAAAGCAGTTGAATCCCACTGGTCTCCAGATAAATACCAAGATAAATCTTCAGGTAAGAAAAGCAGTCTTCTGGATGTCTCTGTCGTTTAAAACAAATTGTGTAATTAGGCTTACAATTCTTTAGACATTATTAATTTTTTGCACCAGTGGACAAACAAAATTTTTTATCAAGTTGTTGTAATCTCTCATATGATAAACTTTTGGGATGGATGTTTTCAGGTAGCAGAATTCTAACTTTCAAAGTTAAGGCTAATCCAACACATTGGCCCTCAACACACTGGTGTACATTTTTTAAGCCTTTCACTCCCGAGATCTACTTAGTAATTCTCCTTACTCTCTGACAAACAATTCTGATGCTGTTAGTTTGGAAAATTTGGTATTGGATCAAGTAATGATCATATTTAGTGGTTTTTTTTTTTATTCTCATCCCTTGTTCACTTGATATTGTATTGGTATTGTGAGGAGCAGGGCTCGACACTAATGGTAGCCCATTAGCCACAGGCTAGTAGAAATTCGGTTTTGGCTAGTGGTTTTCGGTGTCCACTAGCCAGTTTGGCTAGTAAACAAACTGACAATGCTGTAGCATCTAAGATGTCACCAGCCACTTGGCCAGTAAGTTGAAAAGTTAGTGTCCAGCCCTGAGGAGGAATTTTGTATTGGTCATGAATGGGAGTTCAAGGGTTGAAATCAAAGAGAAATCCACTTTTTTTACCCATGTACATGTACATCAATTTTGCTCTGATCTTGTCTTAGTATGTGCGCATTTTTGAGATTCATGATATAGTTATTACAACTACAAATAACTGTAATTCAAATGTTAAGGTCAGCTTTGTACATTTATTTTTGATACTCAGCTAAAAAGGAAGAAATTGAGAGCTATTTTAATTCATAATTATTATATATGTATAGAGTTATGTGAATGCCTCATTGTTTTATGAGTACAGTTTATGCACTTTTGATTAGTTTGTTCACCTGGAATTCATCATCTCCCAGGTGTGAAGTTTTGTTTTCTTTACTATACTTTTCATTGCATACATCCACATGTACTTCTTACCTGCAGACGTACTCTATGTATGCTTTAGTGCTTACAAAAAATATAATACTGCTAGCTTTTGTGTGAACATCTTTTCTCAACCTTTCTTGAGCCATCTTAAGTGTAGTACACATGTACTGTACGCATTTACTCTGCATTCGTGCCAACACTCATTTTATTGTAAAAGATTTTAATTCAGTACCACATGTCTGTGAATGTAATGTAACATGATAACTGTTCAATTGAGTAACTTTAAGATGCTTAATGAAACTCCTACATGTTGATTTAATACTGTTTGCATAAAATTGCATTTGGTTGTAGTTTGTGCTGATTAAATTGCTTTAAGTGTCAAGCAAGCCGTATAATATGTCAATTAATTAAGCAAACTCTTCTGAAGTGAAAACAGATTTTGCATTACACACAAGAAAATTAATAGGCACCATAACACGCCATGTGGAAGTGAAGTGTGATCATCCGGGTGAGTGTAATCCAGGAGAAGGAATGTTGTCGCTGGCGGTGACTGACGTTTCAACAACCTGTGCAGAAGTCATCATCAGAGTCTAGTGAAGAGCTGTTGTCAGTAGAATGTTCTTAGTCCAGTTCATATAAAATGATCGGCCAGTTCTACTGACAACAACTATTCACTTGCCTCCGATGATGACTTCTGCGCATGTTAGCAAAACATCAGTCACCACCACTGACAGCAGTCCTTCTCAGGACTACACTCACCCGGACTATCGCACTAAACTTTCACATGTTACCCTTGGGTTCAAACTATTTATTGTATAACATGCAATGCACCTCTGTACAAGCTGTCCGAATGTATACATAATTTATAGTGTTGTAAATCTCAGCTCTATTCTTTCTACTCTGTTGCACACAAACATCTTACAGTACTCCTTGAGATCTAATTATTGTAAATATAGCATAAACTAGTTAAATTTCTCAGATCAGGAGTTATGTAGATCAGTTTTTGTTAATATCTTAGAGGTAAGAAAACCAAGTAGAGGATTGTGCAGTAGATGCAAGGAATTTCAACCAATGTTTGTGTATTTATAAGCAAGGGTTTCTTAAAACTTTTGACGATAAAAATCCACGGTAAAACACGACGTTTCGACCGTGCTTCGGTCATTGTCAAGTGAATTGAATGAAGTACAGTAAATATATGTATATATATGTTTGTGTATTTGAAATTTTTATTGGGATTTGCTCTTGAGCAGCACTTAAGAAGAGTTCAATTTATTATAATTTTTTGTTAGAAATCAAGATCACGTAACTTAGATGAAAAACCAAGTTCGCTGATATGAATTTTCAACTTCAAGACCTAATCGTTTCCACCTTAACATCAGTATGCATATTCTCCATACTGTTCTCTATACATTTCCTAAGGTGCTGACAAGGAGAATTTGTTTAAAAATCAAGAGCTTCTTTCGTTGGTGATCATTTCCTTTATTCTTATGACCTTAATGTTTTGATGCAAGGCTGATATTGTACGGAGAAATTAAATGCCGATCACTGTTAGGGTCAAAAGGTTAAACCGCATTAATTCATGCCCAAATATGCAGTTAGCAAAACAACCGTTAGATTCTAACATAGGAAAAGAGGCAGTTAGAAGGACTGAAGTATCTGAACTGATTTTTAACCCTTGTTCTTTTGATTCTAAGTCACCACAGGACTCTCTACCTGACTTCATGCACAGTAGTAAACCTGTGACGTGTGTCCAAACGGACCTTGCACTTCAGTTAATCTTTGTCCAGTGTCCTTGTGGACGATCATGTCGGTATCTCTCTGTGATGAGTGCAATTGTTGAATTACTGCACCGTGATTGCATGTGTGGAAGATCTTTAATCATTAATCATGCACTGGTGTCTTGGGGTTTCTGTTTGTTTGTTTGTTTGTTTGTTTGTTTTTATGACGAAACAGGAAATGCTGGATCTTTTCACACTCCCAGTACTTTCCTTGAAACACTAATCATTCTTTTGACATTTACAAAATAATTGCATGATCACTTTATAACCTGCATGTGTGCTACTTGGTTGCACGACATTTTCAATTAATCAATACATCTTTACTTTGAAATATTGCATGGTGCATGCACAACTTTTTTTGGAGGTTAAATTATTTTAAACCACATCTCTCCATTCCCTTCAGTCGCCTTTATTTTTACATTGTTTGGTTTTGAATTTTCTAGCGCTGCTGTGAAATTGAAAAAAATTATCGAGTTTGAACAAATTGTAAATCTAGGTTTTTAAATTTGATACAATTAAGGCTATTGGAAAATTTTACAACTCTTTAAACGAATTTTTACGACTAGTCTTAAAAATAAATATCAATTCCAAACTTATTTTTCAATTACCGAAATCTGTTTACTGATGAAGGCTCCCGAATATGAAGTCATACAGAATAAATGAATGTCATAAAACATATTTTTTGTTGCACCTCTGGCTTCTTGTATAAAGACTATCATGGTAACTGAAATTATTATTATAATAATTATTAAGATACAATAATTTTTCGAATGAATAGCAACTTTACCTTTTTTAAATAAAGTAATCGTTATCGTGTCTGTGCTCAAATAATACGAGTGTGAAGTTCCCTCTTTTTTTCTGGAGAGGTTGAAGTTTCATTTTGAGAGCGTGAAATGGTGTAAAATGACATTTTTGAACCAAGGATTAAATTCAACAACAACACAAATAAATACTTGTTAATATTTCATTCAGATATGCTCACACGTATTTAATGCACGTGCGCATCGCTGTCAAATATCAGAAAACTGCGAATAACCTAAAATCTTTGGAAAAGTCTGACGTGAAGTTATCTGAGCCCAGTTGTTCAAAGGCCATGTAGTGCCCTCCGCCGGATAGAGGTTGATCCGATGGATAGCGTTATCCAGCTTTGCAACAAAATGGGATCCAGTGTTGTGTTTGGTTATTTGACATTTGATTGGCTTATACATGTACCTCTCTGCAAAATATTATTTCACGAGACTTTTTTTGGTGTTCGTGGTTTTCTGAGCTTGCCAGAGGTATTTGTAATTTTAGCATAACTTTATTAGTGTTCTATCACAAATGTTTCCATCTGACTGGCTGCACCACTCGCTGTCTGATTGGTGATAGCCATTGAGTAACGTGTGAGAAGTCTTACAGTTTATCACTGTTTGCGTCATATGCCACGCATAGAAATCTCTATCCCATAATCGAAGTCTTTCAGTTTAAATCTGCTGGTAGTTCAAAAATTTAACTTCATCTCATTTCGTTATCAACCACACGCTGTCTGGCTTCTCACTTTGCGTACGATCTGCATGTATCTGGGAATAGATAGCCACAAGCGTAGCTAATCAGATTGCAGAATTTGTGATAGAACGCTTTTCGATTTAAGCTAACTGTTAAATAAAACGCTATAACCTCTCTTTTCCCACAGTTCATTACTACATGGCTAATTCTCTTTATTTATTTTAGCCCTCTCTATTTCAGTTTTAGCTGTGAAGAGAGTGCTTAATACTTTGGAAATCCTTGACCGCTACAACTTCAACAGAGCAGATTCAACAAGTTCCATTGACTCGCTTTACAGCAAGATTTTTGCTGATTCAATTAAAACCGGAGGACAGGTACGTGAAAGACTTAATTTTTTCACTTATCATCTGAAGGGAGACGCGATAGCGAAATGGATAGGCACTGGACTCCCTGTCGAAAGGCCCGGGTCCGAGACTTGACCGGGTCGCCATGTCTTGTTCTTGGGCTAAACAGTGTTCCGATGGCCTGAAAAAATGCAGAAAATGTTTTTTCCTGTTTTGCAGGTTATATTTGTATAAACATATGCTATTCTTATTAGTGTCGTGTAACCAATGCTATTATTTTCCCCTCTCACTTTGTTTTACGTTAGGCATCTGCTACAGATGAGGCGATAGCGCTTCTGTTATTTGAGTGGGCCGTCAGTAAATACCGTGTGGGAAAATTCCGCGCTTTAGCTGTGGCGAAAATATTGCAAAGAAGGCAAACTGAGATTCTAGAGGAGGTAAGATGCGCACAGCCTACGGTTCAAATAAAATGTTGTTAATAGAAAGGAAAAGGAGCCGCAAAGTGGAAAGTGTTTTAAGCATACTTCAAGCTGTTGTATTGTACATAATTTAATCAACATTGAAATCCACCAGATATTTCACTTGCACGCGAAAATTAGGAATATCCTATTCCAATGGGTGTCTTTGCTGTACTCGGTCGACGGCAGTACTGTAGGGACCATGTGATAATAGCCCCCAGTTTTCAAGCCATACGTCTGATATCGTGAAAGCCTTCGATTTAAAATTTGAATCGAGTGGAAGAGCATACATGTGGTGGTTAAAGACGAGGAGGGAAACCTGGGAAATAGAAGAGCTACCTGTTTTTGCCGGAGAAAGAAAAAATCGAATGAGTTCAAGACCAACCGTTTCTCAATGCGCTTAAAAGAACAACGAAAGTGATAACATTAGTTCTGTTTCGTTTGACAGAGAGAAAGTTCTCAAGAACAAGGAGAAGAAGGAACTTCATCAAATGCGGTGACTACTGCTACGAGCACAGTGCCACCTTTCCAAAAGGTTTTGATGAATTTTCTGGACAATTATGCTCCCGTAGTTGGTGAGTATAATATTTGGACTACTTTTTGTCTTTCCATCAATCCTCTGGTTTGGAGGTCTCGTTCGTTTGAGTAGAAAGTGCATTCAAAAAAGGAGAAACTTATGTTTTTCTTCACCTTAGTTTGCTTCGTTTTTCCATTTTCTCCGCTTCCCCGAGGCTTCATCTCTATTTCTCTCTCTTACCGTCTGTTCTTTTGACTTCTTTTCTTTTTTTTTCTGTTCCTTTGCTTTTCTTCCTTTCTTTTCCTTTCTTTCCTTTGATTTCCTCTCTTTTCTTCCATGTGTCTTTAAAATCCTTTACTCACTTATTTTCACAATATCATTCTAGTTGTAATGACTTTGATCCATTTTACTGCAGATGGTGGTTACCAACACAACAAGACACACCCCAGTTTTGCACAGTTGACACTTCTGTTCGGAGAACTCATCAGGAATGAAGTGTTCTCGCACAACTCTTACATGTACACTCTTATATCAAGGGGGGACCTTCAACCCACCCCACCTGTTTCCATCCCCTCCCCCCCAAGACCAGTCATTCAAAGCATTGAACACCCCCCCGAAGCAGATCCGATGGGCATTGAAGAGTGTGTACAGGAGGGTGATGCCCAAGGGGGAATAGACATTCATGGTCTGGTGAGTCGCTTTTTCATTATTACACCTTGATCCAAAATTCTTTCTTATTCATCTTATGCCCGCTATTTTCCTAGTGGAGGAGCAGGTAAAGGTAAAGTGCCATCTTGTGGTGGCAAGAATTTTGATGTCAGAATAGTCGTAAGGAACTCAGATATGATCGTGGCAGGGACATCCGCCGCCCCCCCCTTCCCCACCCCTAGTGATAGGCTCATCCACCATCAAACAAATATGACACCCAGTATAACCGTCCCCTCCTCTTCCCCCCACCTTCAATAAAAGCCCCCTTCTAGTTTCCTTTTTGACTCACCACTAAGAATTCTCACCGAGCACAAACCTATTTCTGAGAACCTTAGACAAGTTTAGGGAGAGAGCCATTCTATTTTTTTTTCCATTACCAGTCGGTAAACGAAAAACAGCTTTACAGTACCGAATACGCCTAGACTTTCGTGAAATCGGCCCAGTAATTACAAGCAGCCGTAGGTGTTATCCACTTATTTAGTTTTTCACTCTTCTCCACAGACATGCCAAGAAGATCTTGGCGGTAAGGACAGCAGCAGTGACAGTGAGTTGAAAATGTCTCAGCAACTTTTAGATCAGGAGCTGCTAGTACATCAAAACAGACTCATACAACTTCTTGACCAGGGTGACAATGAAATATTTGCCGATCAGGAAGCCCCAATATTAACCGCTGACCTTTCAGGTAAGATTTTATCAACAACTCTTGTAATGAAATTTATCAAAAATCTGAAGTGGTTCTTACTCCTCCAGCAAACTCTGTAGATACGTGATTATTGAAAAGTTTGTTGTGATTCAAAATGGGGGCCACCGAAATCGGCTTTAAGTTACGCCTGAACACGAAGTTTAATTAAGGTTTTTAAATGGAAGTCTTTTGCTGCTGTGGTAACCCTGGATGCCAAGAAACTACCTCAACTTGTAAACAAAAATTGGGTATTAAGGCGCGTTGTATCTTCATTATTATACAATTTTATTTTGTACTTTAGCAACGACAAACATTTGCATTTAATTTTTTTTTTGATAAGTAGTTAATTTTAATGATAAATGGTTGATTCCCTTTTTTTGTCCTTGTAATTATTTTATCCAGCTGTCGCAAGTAATACAAAACTTGAGCCAAGCCTGGCAAATCCATCTTCATTGACCGCTGATCAAAGAGACAATTCACTCATGGATTCAACCTGCACTCTTCCCAAAAAGTCGCAGCATGCACAGTACGCCCAGCATTTTCCCATTCCTGCTGAGAATGTCACAGCGCACGAGAGTAACCAGCGGCTTATCTTACTGTATGGAGTGGGTAAAGCGAGAAGCCAAGCAATAGCTACAACCAAAGAGGTGATGAAGGCTCTCTGTAACATGCTGAATGATCTGGGGAAGGTTGACGATGCTGGGCTCTGTACTGATCAAGGACAAAACAGTGAATATTTGGTCTTGAAGCGAGAAAGGGACGAAAAAAGAGCCGTGCTCTATAGGTTAGTTTTATAGCGATACCTGTGTTTTATTGCTTGTAGTTCATGTAATAAGCTAAGTTATACACGAGTGTTTATTAGTCATTTACATATGATCCAATGGGGAGCAAACGCATAGAAGACATCACCATGAAAAAATTTTTCTTTCTTAGCATAAAACACACAAATAGACTCCATGTTACTGTGCGTCTTTTCTGTGAGAGATCTCAGATGACCTCACGAGACACTTATTTTGTTCTTCTTTGATTGCTGAACAGAGACACGGCAAGATGGAATCTATTTTATGTTTAAATTACAATACTTGCAAACAACTGTTCTGTAAGAAGCGCTCTATAGGCCAATGTCAGATCTAGACATGTGTTTACTTTATATCACGTTGCCTGGACTGAATTACGAAGAAGGATCGACTCAAGAAAGAAAGAAAGAAACTCTTAACCGAATAGATAATGCATTCATCCGACTAACCGTTTGGAACCTAAAATAGCAACACGACATTATACGGAAGTGTAATGTCGTGTGATAACGGTGTATCATTTCCTTATAACATTATAAGGACATGATACACCCAGTTTGACCACCTCAGCTATTTTGTCTCACACTTCTCTTCTTCGCCACTAACCACATGGCTTTTTTGACGTTTGCTTTTCCTGTAGCAAATTTTCGAACCTTACATGTTTCGACCAGTACTTAGCCGTCGCGAAGTGCAACAATATTCTTCGCGACCAGAAAACCAAACAACCCAAGATGTTTGGTTTAGTAATGCCCACACCGACACTGAGTCAACTTGAATTCCTGTACGACCTGTTCGAACTTTCTGGTGATGTTCATGGACTTCTAGACTTTGTGGCTTACCTACTTATGCCAAGTGAAGAGGATATTTCAACCGCACAATTACCGCAAGTTAAAACAGTCGTAGGGACTTTACCAACTAAGTCAGTTGTTGTGGTTGCGATGCTTCGCAAATATCACGCCTGTCTGATGTTGCTCCCTGAGCACACTACAAGGATTTTTAGAGGGTGAGACTCCGTGTTTTTTCTTATTTTCACTCTGACAGGTTTCAGTTTTTTTTTTACTTTCACTCTGACAGGTATCAGTTAAAGGTGATGATAAAATAGTCTGCTATCTCTCAAAGTTATCCGAGTATTTATATCGTAGGAGTAATACCACAACATCCAAATGGGATACTGCAAAATACACTCCATCGCTTGCTAAATGATGGAAACCTATTTACCTTCGGATTTTTTTAGATAACCAGAGGTTCTTTTCTCGCTAAAGTCAATGGGGTAGTGGGCGCGACACAGTGGTGAGAGCCCTTGCCTCCCACTATTGTGGTCCAAGTTTAATTCCCGGACCTGGCGTCATATGTGGGTTGAGTTTGTTGCTAGCTTTCTTACTTAATCCATGGATTTTTCTCCTTGTCCTCCGGTTACAAAATATCGTATTGCTGCGCTTTTCTTGTGCATAAACCACAAGACTTTGGTTCAAGGGCGTCTGGCTCTTCAATGGTAAAATGGATCACGAACTATGGTCGAGCCGTTAAAAAGTTACGAGATAAACCAACGGCCTGTTTTGAAATGACGGGAATAACATTGACTTTTGAGGAAACGACCTGCTAATATGAAATTATGTATGTATGTATGTAGGTATGTATGTATGTATGTAGGTATGTATGTATGTACGTACGTACGTAGGTAAGAGTGTAGGAATATTTATACAGGGTAGCCCAGTTTAGCAGATAGCTAGTTTAAATGGGGCCCTGTGAACACCCACCCATCCCACCCCAGGGGAGAACATCCACCACAAAGTAATCTCGTGCGTGGGAAATCAACCTCTCCTACCCCTAACCCTGCAGGAGACGGGGCCTACGTTTTCAAACAAATTTAACTATTTAAACTTGTTTGGTTAACGTATTCAAACTGGAATTTTCATTTTAGGCTCCTTGCCGCCGTGGAGAATATTGCCTACCCAGGTATATGCTCGTCACCTGAAAGATGTATTCTGGCACTGTTGTTCGACCTTTACTCATCTTGTGCCCATCTCAGGGTAAGTTGGTGGTAAAAAGAAGTGCCAAGTTCTATCGCAGAAAAGTCCATGTGCAGTTTTTAGCGTAGTTGACAAGAACAAACAATCAAATTGATGTACGTCTCACTCTCGGAGCCTCTTCAGTCCTTTAGAAATGTTGAAACGAAATGTTGGTCATGTAAGTTGCACTGATCTGTTAACTTGTTCATTAAAACAGCCAAAGTGTTGTGTTACTTCGTGTAGATTGCCAGGTATTCCATATTTCTTCAGCTATGCATGAGTACCGCAGGTGAAAAGTAGAAGCAATTCTATATCTTCTGAGATTTCTTGAGTGAGTCTTCTGCTTTTTCGTTTCAGATTCTAACAGAAACTGTCAGTTTGACTGTGAATACGTAAAAATCATTGATGTGAACTGCGGATCAATAAATGAATTTGAGAGTGATCTTAGCAGTAATGAACTCTACGTAAGCAGAAGTGGAAACAAAGCCTGAAATGAATTCAGACCTTTGCGGGAGTTGATGATCATTCTTATATTCATCAATTTGGCATCTAACTTTTATCTCACACTTTTTGCAGTCAAAGTACGCGGATATTTTCAGTACGGCTTTCACTAAGATCAAGCAAGCAGTCTGTTCTAGCACTACTCCATCAGCTTGCACTGAGCCTTACGAACCAAAGTTCATGGCGGAATACTTCCAGAACCCAAGGTAACCTAGGGTGTGGCAAGGAGGTGTATATCACTCCTTTGTCAAGGAAATAAATCGATTACGTAATGAAAAAGGAACTTGGCATGCCTTGAAATATCGGCAAGGCGCTACCTTTGAACCACCCCCCCTCGCTCCCTGCAAGTAGAAAATCATTCCTCCCTCCTTCGTAATATAAGGGACCAGTCATTTTCTTTCGATTAAGGGAGGGGGTAGGATTATTTTGATGGGGGATCACGTTGCTCTTCATATTGATTGAATGACTGCCAATTAGGGGAGGGGGGTATCGAAAGAATATTGCAGAGCTTTATGGGGGATCAGGTAAATTTTATCATTACACAACAAAAATCAGCCAATTCCCCAGGACAAAAATGATGGCCGGTTCCTTAACACAAATAATGTAAGTATAACTTAAATTGAAACCATAAACTTCAAAAATGCTTGGGGAATATAAGTAAGCTTTGCCTCTGACTGGTGATATGTTTTCTCATCGTACCTGCCCATACCCCCCTGCAAACAATTATTCACAACCACTAATTATTTCAAACCTTTGTGAACTCAATCTCCCCCGTCCCCCAACTTGGGAGGGTTCCCTCCCTCCCTCCCCCCCCTTAAACCTGTGCAGCTCACGTTATTGATAGTCATTCATAAATGAAGTTCAATTTTAACTTCCAAGGACCAAGAGGCTTGATGGCATCTGGGAATATCTTCTGAATCATGAGAAACCATGTGATGTTTACAGCTTTGTGTGCAATGCCATGATGAATGTGTGCAACTGTCAGAATAGCGAAAGGTAGTTATTTAACGAATTTGGCCAGTAACAGCTAGGCACTGAAAATCATTTGAAAAGAATGACATTTTGTGCCCTTACGTTAAATCATCAACACCATACAAAATAGGCGCAGCTTAACTTTGGTTCTTTGAATAATAGGGAAAACGGCTTGTTGTTTCACAGCAAGTCTAAACCGTTAGGCGAAGGAGAAAACGGCTCCTCTGCATCCTGCTCAACCGTTTCTGAGCTAATTTGGTTTTATCAACTGAGTTCATAAAAGAAATTGGCCACCGTAGAAATTGCCCACCGTAGAAATTGGCCACCGTTCAAAAGCTGATCTTTCGAGCGTTAGGCCCTCGTACTTTTTCAACTCGGTTGATTGAACAAATTATTTTCTTTCCTACTTAGCGACGCAGCACCACAGTTTCTTTAGAAGCTCACCCGCTTTATTTATTCGTTTCTTTAGCTAGCCTGTAGATTAGACTGTGTGAACCTTAAAAAACGCTTTGGCTATGCGTTTTTGTTCAGCGAAAAAGCGTTAAAATACGCGGTCATATTTAGTTTTCTAACTGAATATGAGCAGCTCTTTCGTAATGTATTTTCCCTCTCTCTTTTCATTGCTTCAATAAGCATAGCTACGTCATTAATATACGGTCTCAGTCCAGAATATTAGCTCCATTATAACACTTTTACTGAACCGTATGTCCACAGATTGTACGACATCGGTGTTCTGTGTGCAGAGGTTACTGCCCATCATGGCAGGCTTAGTTCCGAGTGGCTTGGTGTCCTCAGAGCGTTGTGTTGCTCTTCAAACAGCTCGTCAGGGTTTGTGGACTTGCTTTTGGAAGTCGATGTAAGTATAATGACAAGCTCGGAATGGCTCTAGGCTAACGCTAAGGATTACTTGCTGCCTTGATTTCTTGGGGGAAACCTGCGAGACTAGAATCTGCATTTTTTTCTGGGTGAAACGCAGAAGGTTTTTACATAATAGTCTAGTTTACAGCGGTGTGCGTAGTTTTTAGCCATTTGATTTAGAATGAACCTAAAGATGATCTTGCTATGAGACGAAAATTTAATTAACTTGATGACGTAATAGTGAGTATAAAGCCAAAGCCACAGTATTCATAATGGCCAATCAGAATGGAGGAAGATATCCTAAAGAGCCAATGGAAACTCGGATTAAAACATGCAAACTGTCTCAATTACAGGAAAACGCGGTTGAATAAATTTATATTGGTTATAGTTTAGCATCTGATTGGTTGAGGGGGTGACTTCAATTTTCTGGACCAATCACAGAGCGAAGTAAGGTAAAACCAAAACAATCGCAAGCAAAGTCAGTTTACCGTGTTCACCTTCTTCAAGCAACTTCAGCAGCTGAAGACTTCTTATACCATCTTGCTTACAGGTTGGAGATTTATCAATTCACGAGTCCGTCGCCACATTTACAGCTTTGCTAATAGCCAGAAGTTGCTTTTCACTGGAAGATGTCATCTATCACGTAGCGTTACCCTCACTTCTGGCCGCCCTTCCATCAGGTGAGAAATCTAGCACACTCCATTCACTTTTCAGTTCTTTCATACTTTGAAAGACTTGACCGTGGGAAACGCAAAAGTAGTGTATTTCAAGCTAAATCCACCTATCGATCACAAGGTCACTTGACGATCTTGCTGATTTTATCATCAGTTCATGCGATTTCGTCTCCTGTTTCTCAATGACTGTTCTTACTCTGTTGTATTTTTAGGAGTAGAGAACCAGGAAGCGGAGCCTGGTGCGAGGCTGACATGTCACCTGTTACTGAGGCTTCTTGACGAGTCCACTGATGTCATGTCACATGACCACTCGTCGGCATTAAAGTTTCCCTTTAAGTCATCTCACGACCATCACTTATTGTCTGCTGCGCATGACAGTATTCGTATAGGCCCTGTACTAGCAGTGTTGAAGGCCATGCTCAAGCTGTCGGAAGCCGGTATGTTAGTCTGTTTCAGGTTCTCGGTTATTGTAAACGAGCGAAATAGCGAGCGCGCAATGAGGTGTTTCCATGACAGCCGCCGTTTTTCGCCTTCACGTTCTTTCCTTCGTCTCCACTCTTCTACCGCAGACTTTCAATTCTGATCGAGTTCTTGAACTCAGAGCTTGGCCATGTCGATAGTCAACGAACAAGAAACACCACATTTCATTTAAACTTCCTTTTTTTTTTCGTCAACTCAGGCAAAGCAGGAGACAGTGGTACTACCAGCACTAGTGATACCACTCGAGATGACTCCTTCCGAAGTTTGTTCTCCAATAGACTGGATGACTTCATGGACAGCACGTCTAGCACTGGGGACATTTTTCCTCCTCCTTTAGCCTCGAGCAGATCAGGTGGGCTGAAAAATGCTAATTAGGTAGCTTAATTCCGGATTAAATTTCTACACCTTGTAATTTGGAAGACGCAATGGCCCATTGATGAGTGTACCGGACTCTGGGTCCAGGCTCCAGTTGTTCAAAGGGTGGATAACGCTATCCAACGGATAAATCGCTATCCAGCGGATAAGTGTTACCAAAACGTACTGCGCTATCCACCGGATAGAGATTTATCCAGTGTACAGCGTTATCCATCCTTCGAACAACCGGAGCCAGAAAGATAGGATAGGATAGGATAGGATAACTTTATTTATACACGGTTTTTCCTCCATCAGTTGATTTAGTTAATTCTATACTAGAAACCTATCTATCTAACTACAATAATAATTTGATAACAACAATTCAAATAAAGAAATAAATAAAAAATTCTGCTTTTCATGGAGGCCGTCTAACATTTACTTAGAATTAAGACTGTGTTCATGCCTTTGCCTGGTCGGCACAGTTTACTTTCCTTCTTGTCAACACACACCTCCCCCCCCTCCCTGACCCACTCAATTTTTGATTTGTTGTTGGTCAAGACACTTTGCTTCCACAGTGCTTCTCTCAACCCTGGGGTATAATCTGTCAGAGAAAATTGACGTAATGCTAGATGGTTACCTACGATGGATTGACATGCCATTCATGAGGCGTGAAAATACATCAAGTCGCATGAAACTGCGGAAACTTTAACCGTGATGAGCTCCAGAATTTTTGTGTCTCTGGAATTGAAGACGTAACTTTTAAAACTCCCTCCTTCCCCTCCCCTCCCCCCATCTTCTCCGCTCTTTCTTTCTCTCCAACTTATTCCCCTTGAATCCTGAATCCCTATAAATTAATGCCGCGGATTGGGGGGGGGGGCAAACTTATCAGACCGTTTGCTGTAAATCCTATTTTGATTCGATTCTTGTAGCGATGGAGACTTCGAACATCAGTGTGTTCGCTGGTTTTGCATTGCAAGTGATTTGTCGTCAGGAATGGGTGAGAGAGAGATGTCTTCAAGATCCACAAATACTCTGCTCACCCGAGCATTTACTTGATCCAGCAATATCTCCCAACCAGGTATTAACAGCGGATATTGTTACTAACTTTTTTGTGAATCTTTCTCGTTGGTTCTCCATTCTACCTGAAGATTTGTCGCGTAGAACAACCAGTAAGAAAATTGCACGGACCGCCCTACTGATACAAAATACTTAGAAACGCAACAGGCCTTTGATGTAGGTTTTATCGTTGTTCATGTTGTTGATTACCTTCTCGCAGGCGAGGAAATTGCTGCATCTGATATGTTATCCAGCTGGTGTCCCATCATCCATTGGTGGCCTTATTGCTAATAGTAATGATATGGAGACGATACACGAGGCGGCGAGCAGGATACTACAGGTCAGTGGTTTCTTGTTTCTTGAATGATGTCGTCAAGTGTTCTACGATTACAGAAGCCACCTCGGCTAGTATTTTTTTACCGAAGCTCTTAGCTTATTGAGCCGTTTGCTTCTGTTTTTATTTTTTCTTCTACTTATTTGCAGAACTTGGATCAGTGGTCTTTAAGGAAGTCTTGGTTAGAGTTACAGCTTATGATCAAACAGGTTTCTAAAGAGGTATCCCACAATTCGCCTGTTCTTTCACGCAGTGTTTGGTCGGGGAAAAGTTATTCAATTGACTTAATTTTTTTTTTTATAGGAAACCGGACCTCTACTAGATGCAGTCGCCACTAGCGCCATGAGTGTCTTTGTCCAGCGGCACGACACCACTCCCCTAGCAACAGCCCATAGCAACCAAAAATCCGTGGTAGTGAAAGGTCCTGAATGGTTGGTCGCCCCTTTGATCTCTAAATTGTCCAACTCTGTACAAGGTCGACTCCTGAAGGCTGCTGGTGAGGTACTGGACACCAAACAATGGTGGAAAGAACATTCGGCAAAGTCATCTGTGTAAGAAAAATTAGCAATCTGTAATATGCTGGTATTTACGTTAGATATCTCTCGCTTTCCTTGAATGGGTTGATGTGTTCAGTTTGTGATTTCAACGGCAAATAGGTGGTGAAAGTATCAGTGCAATCGATAGCAGAAAAATACTTTCAAACCAAAATTTGAAGCAATCGTTCTTTTCGAATCTGTCAAGACGCATCTGTAAAATATTTTCCCGACACTAATCGTTTGATCTTGTCTGTGGCTCTTGACAACAAAGATAAAGGGGTGAGTTTCTAAAGTGATTATGGTGGTGCGTCGATGGGGTTATACCGGGATGATTCCGTTTTATCAAGTGAGTTAATAATGTAAATCAGCCATAGTAAAGAGTTTTTCAACCCGATGTTTCGAGTATTAGCCCTTCGTCAGGGCGAGGGCTAACGCTCCAAACGTCAGCTTTACAAGCTCTTGGGAGCAATGTTTAAAAACTCTCAGCACCCTCCTCGAATGCGACGTCCATTATTTAGCGCAGTGTCACTGCTAGTAGAAATCTTGTTGCAATTACTGCATACTTTTCCTTCACTTTCTTTTTTGCCCTACCAGGCCAACTTTAGTTCACACACAGCCTTTCCTATCGCTAGTACTCGCATGCCTCAAGGGGCAAGAGGACCAGCGGGACGGACTTCTGGCTTCCATACAGCGGCAGTTGACTCACTTACTGGTATCCTCAGTTGAGGTTTGTGTTCCTTTACCTCTGTTAGTGATGATTTGTGAGCCTCCAGTACAAATTTAAAGAATTTTCGCAAATAGTCACGCGCGTGGGACGAAGAGAAAAACTGGAGTTCCCGTGAGGAATCAAGCCTACGATCCAGACCCAGACCTTATCGAATCTGGGAATCCGAGATTCGATTCTCAATGGGGACAATTTTTCTGGCATGTACTAAAATCAGGAACACCAGAACACCGGAACATCGGAACACCGGAACACCCTGGAACATCACGGAACACCGGAACAGCCGAAACACTCCTGAACACCGAATTTGACGGTGTTGTTTTGTTTTCCCATTACAGATCATGTGAAAAATAAAATGTAAATGTAATTTGTTTACCCACGTATAACGAAAGAGCTTAAGCTCGTTCTAAAGTGTACGTGTATGACATCGCATTTGAATTTAGAAGTGTTGGTTTTTATGAAGGTAGGAAAACCAGAGAACCTGGAGAAAAACAAACAAACAAACAAACTCTACCTTCAAATGACGGTGGGTTCGGGAAGCGAACCCGGGTCACATTGGTGGGAGGCGAGTACCATTTCACCACTGCAGCTCCCCCTATGTTATCATAGTCTTGAGAAATTTTCAGATAGTCGCGTGAATACGAGTGGGTTTTTTTTTTCTCCAGAGAATATCACGCGGTCTGTAATGGCTAAACAAAGGCCAAACGAAAGAATTCTTGCGAGGTTTGACATTGAATTTCTCGAGAATGCTTGGGGATTTCATCGCGGGGTCACCTAGAGAAACCAATTACAGTGAGATGTGTTAAATAGTATTCAAAAAGTTACTGTGCTCTGAGTAGATTGTTAGTAAATAATTGTTGCATTTATTATTGCTCGAACTTTGAGCGGAATCTTTCTTAATTTGTTCAACGTCCCCTTTGGCTTCTTAAAACAGTAAAAACGCCTATAATAGGGGCTTGTTATTGGAAAAAGTTAATTATCTCTTTAAAAGCTAGAACGTCAACAACAACAACAACAACAACAACATTTATTTATACCACAAAGAAATAAGATAAGAAACATTAAGAAACTATATATTTAGCGCCTGCTTCTAAGCTCTTTCGTGTTACATGGGTAAACAAATTACATCTACCTTTTATTTTTTTACCCCGTCAAATTCGGTGTTCCGGGGGTGTTCTGTGATGTTCCGTGGTGTTCCAGGTTTTAATACATGCCAATTTTTCTCTTGTATCAAGCTCTCGACAAGACGAAAAATCATCCTTTTCCAATTACGCCTAATTTGCCTGTGGAGTTTTAAAAAAAGTTCTTTCAAGAGTTAAATATCTCTCACATTCGTTTCACCTTTTGAGAAATTTTATTCACCCAACAGCCAGATTTTTGAGAAAAGCCGTATGTCAAGTAGATCTTGATATGGAAACAACATTCTCTATGAACTTCATTGTTTGAACTTTATTTGACACTTCTGTGTATGGGCGCGAATAAGTTGACATTTCACCTTGATCAAAGAAACACATTCAATGCTTTTTTCCCATTACAGGAGAGATGCCCTACCGATTTAAAGAGCAAAGAAGTCCTCCAAGAGGCCTTGCACCTGAGAATAAGTCTGGTTAGTCTTTTGCTTGCCCCGCTTTTGTCATTTTTGAAGTATTTGCGCATGCACATCTTTGATAAAAAATCCACAGACCGTTTCTATTCGTTTAACAATATATATATTCGGTGTATTTACAACCAGTGGATTCGCGCTCACTCTTCAAAGGTCTTTGCTAGTCAGGAACGAGACATGTTTTTGGGTTTGCAATAAGACTGCTTATCTACTGTATGAGGATATCTAACTTGTCCTCTTTTTCTTGGGTCTTCTTGAACAGCTTGGTGCCATTTGGCTTGTTAGCTCAATTGGTAGAGCGCTGCACTAGTATCCCAGAGGTCAGTGGTTCGAATCCCGTACAGGCCTGATTGTTTTCAGGTCTGATTTTCGCTATTGCTTAAATAGCGCTATCTACTGCGAGGATCGTGCATCATATGTGTCTGAGCTTTGTTTGACACTTCCGTGCATGGGCGCGAATGAGTTCACATTTCACCTTGATCAAAGAAACACATTCAATGCTTTTTTCCCATTATAGGAGAGATGCCCTACCGATTTAAAGAGCAAAGAAGTCCTCCAAGAGGCCTTGCACCTGAGAATAAGTCTGGTTCGTCTTTTGCTTGCCCTGCTTTTGTCATTTTTGAATTATTTGCGCATGCGCATCTTTAATAAAGAATCCACCCACCGTTTCTATTCGATTAACAATATATATGCTTGGTGTATTTACAACCAGTGGATTCGCGCTCACTCTTCAAAGGTCTTTGCTAGTCAGGAACGAGACATGTTTTTGGGTTGGCAATAAGACTGCTTATCTACTGTATGAGGATATCTAACTTGTCCTCTTTTTCTTGGGTCTTCTTGAACAGCTTGGTGCCATGTTTGACACAATTCAACGCAGCAGTCAACTGTCCAGTGATTGGGCCACACTTCTGTTCCAACTGGTCAGCTCTGGGACAATCACTGCTGACTCTCTACCTTCGAAGAAGTACCTTATTTACTTATTGTTTTTGTTTCTTTTTGTGTGTTTGTTGTTGTGGTCGCTGTTATTGTTTTTTGTTTTTTTTTTTCTGAGTAAAAATACCGCTAGGCACTCTTTCAGTGCAAGGAATAATCGATTTTACCTCAATTGATTAATTCGCAGGTAAACTGCATTCCCCAATTCTCAATAGTAAAACAGTAGGCGGGCTCAAACCTGCGTCACTTCTTTAAAGAATTGTGACAGTCGTCCGTACTATGGAACGAGGATTTGTGAAATGTCGAAGTTGCGAAAACATAACACAGATATTTTAGAAAATTGGAAGTTTTTGTTTCTGGAATGCACTCAATCGCGTCAGATAACAGAAATTATGGATATCATTGTTTTTCTTAAAAAGAGCAATTATGCTTCACCTGGAATATATCTTCGTAGCATTTTGTTTAAAACTTGAATTCAAATCCCGCACTCGTTGTGGATTTTACAAGTGTCCTAACCCTTTTCACCGTATCATCAGTCTGCAGATTGTCCATACTGTTCTCTGAGCAATTCCTAAGGTGCTTAAGACGAGAATTGAGCCAATTGAGCTAACCGCCCCCGTTAGCTCAATTGGTTAGAGCGCCGGATTGTGTTGTGCGGGAGGTCGATGGTTCGAGCCC